AGTCAGGGAGTCTACAGGAAGCTCACAGGAAGAAGCATGTCCTTTCTTCTTCCATCCTCCTTCCAGGTCCTGCCTCAGTGCCCCTCAGCGGCAGAAGCTACAAAAAAGCTGCCACCAGAGAATTGTGGTTTGCAGAGCTCCAGCTCCAGTGCCACAATGTAGAGCATAGAAAAGTGGGCTTGGAGCTGGCACAGGCCACCCCTTTAGCTACTCAGCATCCGTATGCACCCTTCTTTACACATTTAAACTTTCAAACAATTAACTCCCTGTTTCACCTAACATGATGCAACTGTCTTTCATACAAATGAAGGTATTCTCACACTCTTCACAAAATGAGAAGATGCAAAATCCTAATGGTCATTGTAGCTGTCTTTAGGTTATGTTAATTACCCCCTCAATTTCAACCTCAGTCCCAGATGAAATTCTGTTTCTGAAGACCAAATGGTAAAGTTAACCGCAAATAAAAAACACTTGTAGGGGGTGGGGGAGGGATGGACTGGGCGTTTGGGATTAGTAGATGCAAACTATTTATGTATAGAATGGATAAACAAGGTCCTACTGCATAGCACAGGGAACTATATTCAATATACTGGCATAAACCATAATGGAAAAGAGTATAAAAAAGAATGTATATGTGTGTATAATAGAGTCACTTTGCTATACAGCAGGAATTAACACAACATTGTAAATGAACTATACTTCAAAAAAAAAAAAATTAAAAAAACACTTGGGGCTTCCCTAGTGGCACAGTGGTTGAGAGTCCGCCTGCCGATGCAGGGGACGCGGGTTCGTGCCCCGGTCCGGGAAGTTCCCACATGCCGCGGAGCTGCTGGGCCCGTGAGTCATGGCCGCTGAGCCTGTGCGTCCGGAGCCTGTGCTCCGCAACGGGAGAGGCCACAACAGAGAGAGGCCCGCGTACCCCAAAAAAAAAAAAAAAAAAAAGCAAGATGGAAGCTACTTTTTTTTAGGACCTAGCTTCAGAAGGTACATGCCATCATTTCCATAGTATTAGTATTCTATTTGTTATATGGGTCAGCTCTATCCAGTGTGGAAGAGGACACACAAGCTTATGAATACCAGGAGGTGAGAATTTGGGGGCACCATCTTGGAAGCTGGCTATTGCAACCATGTGTTCCATGTTTCTTTTGACATCAGCGAGAGCCTCAATTTGTTCTTTAATTGGTGAAGCAACACAAACCTTCATTCCTGAAGTGTTTGAATACACCGTGGTTCTGCCTCTCTTTGTTTGTAGTAGTTTTTTATTAACATTTACTATCAGATATAGAAGTAATAAGAGGCATCTTAGAGACTCTCCTCAGTTCCAGAAATAGTCCTCTCTACTCTCAGCCTGTAGCAGGAATCTAATTTGCTCTTTGAAATTGGGATCAACTATCCCAGCCAGTAGAGTAACTCTCTTCTTTGCCTGTTGGTTCAGAGGCATAAGAAAGAAACCCCCAAATGACTTGGTGGCAGTCTCATCTTCCAAATGAATGGAATTATTGTTGCATCCTTGGTAGGAGCATTTCACCCTTAGAAACAAGACCTCCAAGCCAGCAGAGCTCAAAGTTGTGAGGGGAGGAAGCAAAAATTCTCTGAGTGGGTTATAAAATGTAATAGTGAGAGGAGCTCCTCCCATTTCTATCCTTTAATTCCTGGACCCATGTATTCTAGGTATGGAAGAGACACACCATATATTGACCTCTGGTTCAAAGTTTATACTGCATCTTGTAAGAGAATATCCATCCTTTCAAGGTGTTGTCTCCAAACTGGCATTACTTACATAATGATGTATTATAGCAAGACCATTTAATACCACAAATTCCTTGATTAGAATCCGTGTTGGCAGAATACCATGATGGCAAACAGGCATTTTGTTAAGTGATACTGACAGAAGCATTATAGGAAAGAAAAGAAAACTCATATACAGAATAGGCTCTGTTCCATTAAGGATAAATTTCTATTCCATGATGGAAAGGATCCAGTGTAATCAACCTGCCAGCAGGTGGCTGACGGGTTCCTTTCCCCTCCCCACCAGAATGGTGTCATACTGTGGGCTCAGTGTTGTTCCCAGCAGTAGTGATAACTAGGTCAGCGATGTTGTTGAAGCCTATGCATAGTCTCCATTTTGTCACCATAGCCACTTTTTTCATGGGCCCAGTGAACAAGCACTCAGCGGCGGGAAAAGACATCTAACTGACATCTATGGAAAGTGCCATTCTGTCCACCTGATTTTTGAGAGCCTCCTCTGCAGTGAATGCCTATTGATGGATTTTCACATGGGACAAATTATCTTCATACTTTGTGCCCATTCTAAAAGATCCATCTATATACTTTTTCACCAGACATCTTTCTCACAAATCTTCCAATCCTATTCTTTCCAAGTCCCTAACTTGACTAACATGTTTGTAGTACTTGCACCTTCCTGCTCATTAGATTCAACCTGCGTAATCCCATCAATGTAGTGGGTCAGTGTGACATTGTGTGGAATATCAAGATGCTCATGATCTCCACAGACTATACTATGGCTGAAGGCAAATGAGCTGACTTAGCATGAAACAAGACTGTAAAGGTATACTATTGACCCTGTCAAGGAAAAACAGACTGATTTTTGGTGCTGGTCCTAGCAAATTGTTAAAAGTTGAAGGAGAAAAAAAAAAGGATTTTCCACATGAGGTGCCAGGAGCTGTGTTGATTTGTTCCAGCAAATATATTACATCTGGAAGAGGTCCTGCAAATGAGTTACCCTCTGATTAACATAAAAATAATCTAGTCATGCTTCAAGATCCATCTGCCTTCTGCACAGACCAAATAGATGTGTTAAATGGAGATGAAATAAGAATCAAGGGCTTCCCTGGTGGTGCAGTGGTTGAGAGTCCGCCTGCCGATGCAGGGGACACGGGTTCGTGCCCTGGTCCGGGAAGATCCCACATGCCGTGGAGTGGCTGGGCCCATGAGCCATGGCCGCTGGGCCTGCGTGTCCGGAGCCTGTGCTCCGCAACGGGAGGGGCCACAACAGAGAGGCCCGGGTACCAAAAAAAAAGAAAAAGAATCAACATTTCTGCATCATTCAAGTATTTGGTGATGGTAGTAATCCCTGCAATTCCTCCAAAGATGTCTTATTCTTTTGGTTTACTATCCTGGCAGGGAAGAGAAATTCCAATAGCTTCCCTTTGACCCTTCATATCCTAATGACCCTTCATAAATGAGACAGCTAATACAGGGACACAATCAGTTGCCTAGTATGTCTTTAAGTTGCACATTCTGGAACTGGAGAAAAAACACAGGGTGGGCTCACGGAGCTACTGGGATTCAAACTTGGCATGTAACTCAATTTATCACCTGACCACCATAAACCTCCATTTTGAATGTTGGACCAGTTGCATTTTGAAACCCTAGCAATCAGCATCAATTCAGAGTCAGGGTGTAGTAATCTCCAAAAGTTCTAGATATTTCTATTCCCCAAAGCACATTCACTCTAGAAAATGGCCACAGGTCCCTTTGGGAAAGGCTTCACACGGACTTCAGTAGTTGTGGCTCGCGGGCTCTAGAGCGCAGGCTTAGTAGTTGCAGCGCACAGGCCTAGTTGCTCTGCGGCATGTGGGATCTTCCTGGACTAGGGCTCAAACCCATGTCCCCTGCATTCTTAACCACTGCGCCACCAGGGAAGTCCCTGCATTTTATTTTTTATATTTTAACTTAAAAATTACTATTTTATAAAAGTGAGTTGACTTTTCCAGCTCTCCAGTTTGGACTCTAATAATAGGCAATCAAATAGCACTGAATAAATATAAACCTTGTTAAAAATACCTAAAATTTGTGCATTTGAGGATATTGAAACAAGTATCATCAGTGTACATTTCACTTGCTTTATCACTTCATCTATATTTGATTTGCTAATATTAACTCTTGTCATGATTGAAAAATGTTATATCTCCTCACAAGAACTACAGAACTATATTCACTTTTTTCCAGTACCTTTGCTTTCCTTTGAAAAAAATGTTCCTACCATTTAGAATTTAAACCAGAATCATGAAATGACAATAGAAAACACTCATCTGGCTTGACAGGTAATATAGCCTGTGTGGTCCTCCTGGTGTAAAGCTAGAATTCCACCTTCCACCAAAAAAGCACCTCTTGAATTCAACTGAGAATGACATTTCTACAGGAATAAATTTGAATTTTCTCATATTTAAGAAGTTATTTATTTTAGCCATAAATAAGAACTTATTCATGAAGTACTTCATACATGATCATGATATTCTAAGGATACAGATTAGAACCACTATTTGAAGGTATCACAGGCAGCTGAAAGTCAGGAGCTACTGATCAATCTGACAACTTTACACTTCAAACTTACAAGGCTACTTTAATTTTGGCCTGAAGGATGATTAAAACAATTGGGGAGGGGGCCGAAAAAGAAAAGCTTGATTATTCAATTCCTAATTGAACTAACCCTTTAGACAGTTTTTAAAAAATTTATTTATTTTTGGCTGCGTTGGGTCTTCGTTGCTGCATGCAGGCTTTCTCTAGTTGCGGCGAGGGGGGCTACTCTTCATTGCAGTGCGCGGGCTTCTCATTGCAGTGGCTTCTCTCATTGTGGAGCATGGGCTCTAGGCACGCAGGCTTCAGTAGTTGTGGCACACGGGCTCAGTAGGTGTTGCTCGTGAGCGCTAGAGTGCAGGCTCAGTAGTTGTGGTGCATGGGCTTAGTTGCTCCGCAGCATGTGGGATCTTTCCTCACCAGGGACCGAACCCATGTCCCCTACGTTGGTAGGCGGATTCTTAACCACTGTGCCACCAGGGAAGCCCCACCTTTAGACATTTTTAAAGTAACATTTAAAGCCAACCTGAAAGAGTATTATTTTGGAATTTTTGCCGTTTAAGATAACATTTACATCTAAAAGAAAATCGTCCTCCAGAACTCAAAAAAAGTAAAGGGATATTTTTCCCCCCTAGGACCTTATAAACAATTATGAAGTTCTCAAGAAAAATTGAGAGAAATGATTTTTCAACAAAGAATCTTTATCTTGCTAGATTATCAGTGCAACAAATACAGGTTTAGACACACTGGTTGAGCCTCAAAAAATGTACCTCCTACACACTCTATGCTCCACCACAGCAGAAGAGGAAATCAAGAATGAGTAGAATGAAGTATCTAGGCTACAGAAGTGACAAAGTAGATTCTCTGGATAAGGACAGGAAATGCCTGGCTGATAGCTGAGCAACATGCTTGGCAGAAAACCTTTCCACATTGGAGGACAGAGGGCTGGCTCCAGAAGTATTCCAGGGGTAAGAAATGACCTGATATTATATTGAAAATTATGAGATCCTTTCCAGAGTTACTGGAGAATATGGTAAGATCAAGTCAGAGGCTAGAAGAAAATGAGACCATTATTAACTTCTGGAATAACAAAAAAGTAACATAAAAAATAAATTCAACCATAGGAGACTACTTGGTTTAGCGGTAAACAGAGTTTATAGTCATCAAAATGAAAATACTGAATTTGGGATGTATAAAGATTGAAATATTAATATATTAGAAAAATGGTGGAGTAAAATAAGTAAGCAAAATTTCCGCTCCTTCTAGTAGGAAGTCAATAAATAATGGGCAGATCCAAAGGTAGCAGCAGATTCATATTATTTGGAAATGTACAGGTAAATTCTAAAACCACTACATGAGTTGAAAGAGAAAGTTTCCTTTGTGAATGTGAAAAAGGGATTACCTCTTTTTTGTCACAAGTGTTTTGGTACTATATGATTTTTTTAAACTATCTGCATATAACGTTGGAGGGTGGTGGGCAGCAGTAAGACAGAAAGAGACAACAGTTTTACATTAAAAAACAACCTCCAAATTCTCTAAGAAAAGTGAACATGATCCCACCTAAATCCATCCATTCTGGGTTTTTTTTTTTTTTTTTAACAAATAATTTTATACAAAGGCTTGTGGGTCAATATTCATTTACAAAAATAAGTTTAGTCTTTTAACGTAAGTACTTCCACAGTTTCAAAACGAAATTCATTTTCATATTTGCATGTCTTTAAAAGTATCCAAAGGACTCATTACCCTTCTGCATTCTGCTTTTCAGAAAGTACTTTTGAGGTAGATCTGTTTCGGATTCTTTTTCTTTTTCTTTTCTTTTCAGAGGCAGATGAGTTTGTATCCTGTGTTTTTTTCTTTTTCTTCAAACAGCTAAGAGGATTAGGGCCACTTATTCTCTTGCGCTTTTTTTTTCTTCTCTGTTCAGGGTCTTTTACTAAACCCTGTTCCTCTTTGAGTTGCTTGATACTTTGTTTCTCTTGCCCTGAGACAAGCTGACCTGACTCTACTGCTTTAGCAAATGCAATTGTTTTTGGAGAAGGTTTGTCCAAGACTATAGTGTTCTGAATAATGAACATGAGAGGAATTCCAGGCTTTTTCTTTACTTTCATAGACAAATTCTGATCCTATTAAAAACAAAAATAGAACTATTTACTTCAAATATGTCAATTAAATCAGATGCCTTAAAGAGATTTCTAAGAACTTAAAGTGGGCTATACTGAAAATAAAAGAGATCCCAGGTTTTACTTTTCAAATCAGTTATGTCTTACTAATGGGAGTATATTTTACGATAAAGAAAGGAAGAAAAACATAAAAACTGAGCACAGTTAAGTGGCAACAATGTGAATGGGATTTATCAATATTTTATATTGATCAATATTCTAAGACCATAAATTTTCTAGGACCTCGAATTACAAACTAATGCAAAGGTAAATATACTAGGTGATGTCCCTCATTTCTACTCTGAGATATGTTTCAGAAAGGGTCAAGAATGCTCACAGAGGGCTTCCCTGGTGGCGCAGTGGTTGAGAGTCTGCCTGCCGATGCAGGGGACACGGGGTCGTGCCCCGGTCCGGGAAGATCCCACATGCCGCGGAGCGGCTGGGCCCGTGAGCCTTGGCCGCTGACCCTGCGAGTCCGGAGCCTGTGCTCCGCAATGGGAGAGGCCACAACAGTGAGAGGCCCGCATACCACAAAAAAAAAAAAAAAAAAAAAAAGAATGCTCACAGAGATTGAAAGAATAGAAATAAAGTTGGGATTAGCTGATTCAGATTCTAGACTCAGCTCTGCTTCTAATTGTGTAATTTTATAATCCTACAAGCAAATTTAAGGAAATCTGTATGTATGTGAGCTTATTCATTAATATCGACCCTGAGAGTCTCTCCTCCCCTGCTTCCCAGTCTTTAAAAGCCTGAAACAGTTCCATACTGGTGGTATAGTCTCAAACAATAAGAAACATGACTTTCTAAGAAATAATATGAAACACGGGAACGTGAAAAAACATGCATAAACATAAAATGTAAAATCATTGCTCTACTCCCCTTCCCTTCAAGAGCCCCAAAACATATCATCACATCTGTCAATAATTTTTATTTTACAAAAGGAAACTTCAGTAATTTAGAAGAAAATCATTATGCTTAAGGCTCTCTCCTCAAATTCTGAAATAACAATTGCTTTTGTTGACTACAAATTAACTTGAAAGCGTGCATTTTAAAAAGTTGAAACACTTAAACCACTTCCACCTAATTTTTTCTAATGATAAATGGCTCCATATGGAGTATAAATAGAAATGATTATGATTGACTCTGGTTTTAAAAGTGGTATCACCTGTGTTGCCACAAAATAATGGTGAGGATTCCCATCTTCCACCATGGAAAGCAGACATTCTGATCCACTCACTGAATTCTTGAAATGGGGACAGTTTCGAACCTGGCATTTTTGTGCAATCAGCTTTGCCCCATATAAGTCCTTTCCCAACGTTTCCAACTCTTTTAACACACACCTGAAAAAAAAAAGTTATTAGCAGCTCACAATTATAACATATCTGTTGTTCACATAAATTATAAAAAAAATACTCAATTCTTCTTTTTAAACTACAAACCATACATTAAGCATTTCACTCTTAAAAGACCCGAAAAATGCATACACCAAGTAGAAGGAACATAATAAACAGTTAACATGTACTGAGCATTTATGATGTGCAGGCAGCATGCTAACTGCCTTTACATAAATTCTCGCTTATCTCAAAACAGCCCTACAAAGTTGGGTAGCTTACTTTATTTTTTTTGTACTTTTATTCTATTTATTTATTTTTATTAATTTTTCTTGGAGTATGGTTGCTTTACAATGTTGTGTTAGCTCCCACTGCAAAACAAAATGAATCAGCCACACACATACAGATATCCCCTCCCTTCTGGACTTCCCTCACATTCAGATTAGCATAGTGCATAAGGTAGAGATCCCTGTGCTATACAGTATGAGGGCAGCTTACTGTAAAATTATCCTTATTTTAGAACACCTCATTCTGCGAGATTTCAAGTAACATGCCCAAATTCAAACAACTAATAAGAGGTAGAGTTGAAATGTGAATCTAAGTAGTTTGACGATAGATGCTTTGGACCAACCACAGTGCTACAGGCTTCTCCTTCAAGTGCAAATCGGTGCACCTTCAGAATATTTTCAGCTTAGAAAAGTAAACATTCTCAAGTCACCGGCGTGTTTAAAAACAATCACAACTTTCTTTCACTTCGCATTTTCATATTAATATCAGGCAATGTTTTTTAAATTGTCATCTATAAACTACCCCTATCTGAATGACACAGTGATATTAATTTCTAGCTCCTTTCTCATCCCCAAATCTGAACTCCTTGTGGAGTCAAACATTAGCATCTTAATAAGCTCCCCAGGTACTTCCTCTTAAAAATTACCACGAGAACTACTGAGTCAAAGATTTCTCAACCTTAGCCAGCCTTTGCCTGATTCTACCTTGCCTCACCCGCTTTATCACACCATTAGTTTTTGATTTTTTTAAGAGATTTTGCTTCTAAAGTCATCCATTTTGAGTTTCAGGCCTAAATTGCCAACTACTTATTGAATATTTCTTGTGGATGGCCCGCCATCAGCTCTTCGTCAAATTCACGATGTCTAAAATCAAACTACTTTCCTGCCTCCAGGCTTCTCCAGGGCTTGCTACCTCTTTAAATTTATTATCTTCTCAGATACTGTTTCGAAATCAGAAATCCTATTTAACCTTTGCTTCCTCACTCCTACCCCTGCCCCTACCCCATCAGTGGTAGTCCTATCTCAGCTGTTGGTATCTACCTCTGTAACGTCTCCTTGTGAAATTCCTACCTCTCCTCTCTCAGGTTCAGGCTCCCATTATTTCTTGACTAGACAACCACAAACAAAACATGCATGTCTTCATTCTCTTGCTTCTTCTTCTTCTTGCTCTTCATTCTCTTGCTTCTCCAACTTACCCCTCACATAGCTGCAGTTATCTTTTCTAGAAGATACTTATCAGGTCTGATAGCATTTATCTCTTGATACACACCAAGAATTGACAATAATATGCTTTAAAATAAACTAGCAGTAACTTATTCTTAAATGGATAAGAATGGCCATGTTGGGACTTCCCTGGCGGTCCAGTGGTTAAGAATCCGCCTTCCAATGCAGGGAACGCAGGTTCGATCCCTGGTCAGGGAACTAAGATCCCACATGCTGCGGGGCAACTAAGCCCACGAGCCACAACTAGAGAGAAGACTGCACGCCTCAACGAAAGATCCCACATGCTGCAACTAAGACCCACCCGAGGTAGCCAAAAAAAAGAATGGTCATGTCAATAATTGCAATAACTGGGTGATAGATGTTTCGTTATACTATTCTATTTTTGTGTATGTATAAAATATCCCATAAGTTAAAATAAATTCTTTAGGGGGAAAAATGCTGCAGAATATAATTTCATGCAGTACTTCTCAACCTTTTTTATATTACAGCCCTGTATTAAAAATGTTAATATTTCTATGGCAGACAGGGGTAAGTAGACAAGGCTTGTGCCAGAAGCAATCAACTCTGGGGCACAGACCATCTGAGAACTTGTCTGGGAGCTCTGAAGGAGATGGGGATCAAAACTTAGGGGGTATCTATGACCATTTGAGGCTCTGCTTGAATGAAACCCACATGAAGTTCTGAATATAGAAAGCTGTTCATGGAGTAGTGTTATGTGAGAAAAGCAGGCCATTAATATCACATGCAGAGTAAGAGCCCATTCGTGTGTGTGTGTGTAAAGAACTGGATGATACACCACATGCTAACAGTGGTAAGTCACTGGTGTGGTATTATAGGTCATTTAAATTTTCTCTGTTCACTTTTTAAAGGAAATATTCTACAAAGGAAAAAAAAAACAAAACTAAGTTTATGAATAGTAGTTCTTCATTATGCAGACTCAACTTATCTTCTTATCAGCTTCTTTCCCAAATATACGCTGTGCTCTAATCTCTTTCCCTGGCATTTCACAACTCCACTCCACTCCTTTGTTCAAGAGGTCCCTACAAGTCACTTCTCTTTTCTTTCACTCAAAAAATGTCCTTCCCCTCAGAACTGAACCGTGACTGGGCTCAAAAGTTATCTCCTCTGTGGAACCTTCCTTGATTCCATCTTTCCTCCAATCAACCCCCCAAGATTCCATCTTAGGTGTTCCCACACTTTGAAGAACTGAGAAAGCTAGGGGTCAAAACACACCAATTAGAGGTTGATTTATGCACTTCGCTGGCCATACGGGCTGGGAGATCATCCTGTTCACCAAGTTATCCTCTGCTAGAGCAGTGCTTGGCGTATGGCTGGTGCAAAATAAACACAGTTGAATAAACAAATGACCTTGCACAAAGTTAGGAAACATCGAGTCCTGACTTATCTTTCTGGGAATCGAAGATATTACATCATGGGGCAGTTGTGAAGCTTGAAAAATTCTTAAACTGGGAAAAGCTATGCAAACAACAAGCAATCACTTAGAGGATACAGGTCTGAGATACCAATAAACGCTCTACATATACTATACCTCGTCCGACTTATAGGAAGTGTGTAAGTAGTTACGAGCTTTTTTCTACAAATGAGTAATCCAAGGCTCAGAGAGGTTAGGTAACTTGTCCGAAATCACAAAGCTGGTAGAACTGGGCCCAATATTGGAAACCAGGTCGAACGGCAAAGCACGTGTCTTATCCTCCAGGTTAAGATGAATACTCGCCGGACCTTATACTGTCTATCTACTTGGTAGATACTCGCCCACCCTCCTTAGCGGTCCCGCTGAACTGTCAGCTCCTCGTGGGCGGCGCGCTTTGCCCCTCGAGGGCTCCCAATGGATGCCTGCGAGCAGCGGCCTCGCCTCTACCGCACCCGCGGGGCCCCCGCGCCTGCACCCGGACCAGCCAGGCCCACCTGGTGGTGCACAGCTGAGTCTCCCCCATGAGGTAGCGGGGCAGCTGCTCCCGCAGCTGGATGCGGCCCCGCAAAGCCGCCTGACAGAAGGTGCCGTCCAGCAGGATCTGGTACGGCTCGCGGACCCCAAAATTGTTGCGGAAGACGCCAAGATGCTTCTTGGCGTGTTTCTGCCTCGTGATCTTCATGCCTGCCTTTCCCGGAGCGAGCCACCAAACCAGAAAGCAGCAGCGAACTGCCCCCCACACAGCCCGCTATCGGCAAGACTGGCTTCTCCCGGAAATGAAGAACCCTTGGCCCCGGAAGCAAACGCCCCATCTGTGGGCCTGGTTTACGTCACTCCCAAACGAGAGCGCGCTTTACCCGGTGCCCGCGCTTTAAGGGACACGCCCTCGGGGGCGGAGCTTGCGCGTAAGTGGGAAAACGACTAAGTGCTCGATTAGAGGCGCACATGCGCAGTCATGGTCCAGGTAAAAAAAAAATACACACTGCCTCTTGCGCGTTACCTGGCACGGCATCTGAAAAATCCGCAGTGAAAATATTGAGCCTTAATATGTCCTAGGCACTGTTCTAGGTAAGATACCTTATATTTTTCCCTTTAATGTTAATAATTCTCAAATGAGGGAAGAAAGCGACCAAAGTATATTGGGCGACTATGATTGGGCAGGTTTGTAGTGATTGCCTTCCTATAAAGAAGTTAAGCACGTTTACTAAGGGCACGTGGTTCTTTAGTGTCAGAACTATCACCGGAACTCAGGTCGCCTGCCTGAAGTTCAAATATCCTTGCACTCCTCCTCACCTCCCGCACACATTCCCGCCATAGGACCACTCCCACTGAAAAGACAAATGTCAGGGCAAAAAGTCCCCATCGTTTTGCATTTCCTCTTCTCCTGGAGACCATCCTAAATCACTCGCATGGAGTGTTTCCGGAAGACTTATTCAAGAACTTCGTTTTCCAAGAGTCAGTGTCCCTAAACTAGAGTGCTAATTCTGCCCCTCACCCAAGCCATTTGACCTTGAGCAACTCGCCAAGAAACGGGTTCAGCTTCCTCACTGTCAAATAGGTTGGCAGGACTAGATGACTTTTAAGAACGCTTTTTATGTCTATAGTCTCTGAGGTAGGAGAACGACATACTGGGCTACTAACAGGGAGGTACAAAGCTGACCGAAAGTTTAGAAATTACTTGCTCAACTTGACTAATGAAGAGAGTAAATCTGAAAATTTTGAGTTCCCCCGTGGCTAACTGCCACATATCCACTTCAATTCTAGGCAAAATAACCAAAGAATGGGGAGTATGGAATTTTGCATTTTTATTTCTGGCCTGGAATCTGTCCCAAATCTCGTTTTAGCTAAAGATTGAGAGAAAGAACCAATGCAGAAAAATAACTTACAAAGTGATCGAGATGTGTTATTTGCATTTGGGGTTTTATTTGAAGATCTAGGTTTATGAAATTGGAACCAAAATCTTCTATAATGTTAACCCTGTCTTGATTCACAGCACAACACCCCTTAGATGACTGCTTTCATTTAACTGAAAATAAATTTAGGAATTGGAAGACATGAAGAGTTATTGTAGGATTGGATTTATGGTTCTTGAGTATAATTGCTCATGACCTTCCAATCTGAATACTCTCTTTATCCCTGTGTGCCAACACCCCACTCCGACTATAATCCCGCCAAAGACAGAAAATATATTATCCCAGCCTTGCAAAACAGTTAAAACAGTTTTAAAAAAAACAGGCTCACAGATTTATCTACCAGCTCCATCCTGTTAGCCACGTTTCACTACTAAGAAAAATGAGGTTCAGGACTAGAGATTTGAGTCATACTCCAGTTTTTTTGTTTGTTTTTTTTTAATTTACTAGACTGTAGCATTTTTTTCAAGCTCTATGTATATGACAGTGCTATTTACACAACTGACCCTTATTTCACAAATAAGAAGACAGTCTATACTGCTGATTATCAAGTCTAAAACAGAATTTTCTGTTACAGCAGTGTTTCTCAAAACATGATCCTGGGACCTGCAGAAAAGTTCTTAGTGTGCTTGTTTAATATGCCCATTTCTGATTCAAAACAAGTACTGAGGGAGAGGGATACTAATCAGAGAGGAAGTGACATTTATTACAATATCCCCAAGTCATTTATTATGCATATTGGTGTTCCAGAAGGACTGTCTGCAGTAAAGCATCACTGTTTACCCAATGGGACATTTTCATTAAATGGTCCACTGAATACGTTTTGGCCTGATGCCAAATGACCTAGTATTGGAAAATCAATATTTGGCCACAACAAAAGGCAGAAGCCAAATATTGCCATTATTGGAGAAACTATTTGGATATAAGTTTAAATCTGAAATTTTACTTTGAAAATTATTATAATATTATTAAAAATTTTTAATTAAAAATTTTTAATAGTCATTGAAAATTTTTTTGACCTTAGAGTGCAGGAACAGTAATGTCTCAGCATTGCTAGCTGCTATTTTTTTCCTCAGGTCAGTACACTGGATATTTTCCAGGCCAAATAGACATTCAGTTGGGGTAGGAGATTCATTTATTTTTCTTTATTTTTTCATACTCTTCATATTCTTTATTACATCTGGATCAAATATAATTTATAATATGATGTTGTTGTACATGATTTTGAAGTTCTTCCTTCATGAAATTTTGATGAAGCCAAGTTGACCTGAAAATGATTTATTCCTGCAAGGTATGACTAATTCCCAAACAAGAATTTTCATGAAAGATTTATGTCCTAAATGGAATTAAATAGGTAAATATTAAATACAATTCATAAAGGTTATTTTGTTTAATTTCATAAATACTAGTATACCAAATAATTCAGCAAAGATATCTATTGTGATATTATTCTGCCTTATATTCATATTTAAATATTTGTTAACATCCATTAGCTCCAAAGGAATACAACATTTTCCCTAATGTTATCCAGCTAACATATTCTTTAAATAAATATTTTCCTGAAATAAATAATTTAAAACAACTTAGGTAAACTGGTTTGTATTGAGGGCTTATTAGTCCTTCACTAAGATCCCCTAGGATGAACTCCATCTGGGACTTGCTTACTGTGAGTTTTTATATATAGGGGAAGGTGTTATGAAGGTTGGTTCTGGAGGCTGCCACGTTTTTAAAAATCATCCTTACAGTTTTCAAATTACAAAAATAACACATGCCTGTTATAACAAGAGGAACAATGGAACAACACAGGACATTCATCTACTCTTCCTTGCCCAAATAACACATGTTAATCTACTGTGTAACTTCTGTAATTTTTTAATATTCATATACTTATTTGCCTACATATGTAGAGATTTTTGTCACTCTATGTTATTCAAAGATAGAATCGTATTTTATCACTTCTGTACATTTTGCTTTTCTTACCCAACAATCCTTGTGGAAATCCTCTCCACACATACTCCAAGTCAGTTGGCATAGTTCTTATTCATTATTTTTAATGGCTGCTTGAAATTTCCCACAAAATCACCACATTTAACATAATGACTGTGACACAGACTGTAAAATGATGCTCAATATCTCTTCTCTTTAGTAATAGGATCCTAATTTTATTCTGGACAATAGTGTGCCCAGAAAAGAGAATCCATTTCCCAGCCTTCTGTGCAGTCAAGTACAGTCAAACGATTAAGTTTTAGCCAAGGGTATGTAAGTATAAGTGTGACAAGGGACTTCTGGGAAAGCTGCTTAAAGGAACTTAACTTGGTGATGAGCACTTTTGTTTTTTTTCCATTGCCTTTCTAACCACTCCCTGGAATTTGGATGTGACAAAGGGAACCCTAGCAGTGTATTTTAGACCAAGAAGTAAACTTGAGGATGGAGGCCATGTGCTAAGACAGCAAAGTAGATAACAGAAGCAGCCTGGGCCATCAATGACTATGAAACTACCTTTCCAAATCTAGACTTTCTACCTCTGGCCTTGTTTTACATGAGAAGAAAAATAAACTTCTATTTTAGTTTTAAAAAATTATTTTCTTTTTATTTTTTGAGACTGTTGTTTTTAGAGCAGTATTAGGTTTACAACAAAATTGAAAAGAAGATATAGAGACTCCCCATGTAGCCCCTGCCTCCACACATGCATAGCCTCCCCCATTATCAGCATTACTCAGGACTTTGCTGGTGGTACAGTGGTTAAGAATCTGCCTTCCAATGCAGGGGACATGGGTTCCAGCCCTGGTCCGGGAAGATCCCATATGCTGTGGAGCTACTGAGCCCACATGCCACAACTATTGAAGCCCGTGCTCTGCAACAAGAGAACCCTGCGCATAGCCCCTGCTCTCGGCAACTAAAGAAAGCCCGTGTGCAGCAACGATTTTTAAAAAAAAAATCACTCACCGGAATGGTACATTTTTTTCAACCAAGAAGGAACCTACATTGATAAATTGTTTCTTTTATATGCAGCCAAACCCAATCTTAATTGACAGAGTATGTTAAAACTACTTGCCAGAATTAGAGAATTTTATATTGGCAGATGTTTTTGATAAAAGTTTGATGTTGGTTAGTGTTTGCCAATACAATTACCCTTTCTTTGAACAGGTTCAAAATCCTAGTTTATAAGTTTTGTGAAAGGTAAAAAACTTTTTCAAAGTAAAATAAACTAAATCCATTTTACATACTATAGAAGTTATCTTGACATTTGTTTCTTTTGAACGTATAAACAATTTGATTTGAACTGAGAATGTCAGTGGGATATATCTCCTGTTTGGAAAAGTTAGTTAAATATGAAGAACCCCAGCTGCTTGGGCAAGAAACATCAAGGAAATGTTAGTGTCACCCAGTTGTCAATCAAAGAAAGCGAGCAGAATTTCTGTCTGTTGGCCCAGCTAGTACCAGTGGGCTCTTCCTTAAATGACAAAGGAGAAACTGTCTCTTGGAAAAAAATTTCAAGGGATTGCTCTTTGTCAAGGATATTTCTAAGCAAGACAGTGATCAGGAAGTAGTTCACCATTGGTTATCAGATGACTGTTGTCAGATGGCTGTAAAATTAGACTAGCAAATTTGCTTGCTAAATAGTTTATTTGAATGAAATTATACAGAGAACAAATACTGCCATGTGAGGTAAGTTGAAAGGAATTTATTATTACACAATAGATCTGCATAGTGCTCTCCATTGGGATTTTACTACAAAATGTTCAGTGGCATTAATTGAAGTAGTAAAAACATACAATGGTAGAGAAAAAAGAAAAGTTAAGAAGTGGTAGCAATGTGCAAAATGTTTTACTTTGATACATACATAACAAACTGCCC